TGTTTCTCTCTCTCTCTCCCTCTTAGTCTCAATCTCTCTGTCTCAGACTCCCAATGTGCATATATATCGTCGGGGATTTAGGTCTCCGACGAGGAATTCATCCCCGTTGGGGACAAGGATGGAGGGGGGACTTCTTTCCCCGTCAGGGTCAGGGACAGGGATGGGGTGAATTTGGGGGTCGGGGTCAGGAATGGAGAATGTAATCCCCGCCCCGTTGCTATTTCTAACCATAAGGATAGTTTAAGAAATATATCCAAAATTTATTTATGCTATTAAAATTGGATATGCAAAAAGCTTACGACCGCCTAATGTATTTTTCTTTTGGTAATTCTATCCAAATTGAGCCTTAGAGTCACCGTGGAGTCCTGACCCTTTAAATAAATATAATTATTCTTTTTCGATGTAACCCCACCAAAAATCCTTTGTAATGAAAGAAATGGCTAAGAAATAATTATGAATGGTTTCTAGTAGACTTTTAATTATCACACGAACAAAAGTTTGTATTTCCAACTCTGCAGCTTGTTATTGAATTTCTATACAATGATCTCCAATTAGCATGTGAGTATCAGGAATATATGATCTATTCCATCTTCTATGAACATTTGAACCGAAAAGAATGGCACATTCAAGTGGACTGATTAACTTCCCTGACCAAGAACTAAATAAATCCGAGCATCGCTTCACCGCTGGAAGTTCACTAACATTAACATTAGCATTAGCACATTAACATTCACTAATAATAATAATAATAATTCTATTGATAAAAAAAAGACATGTTTTATTAGAATTCGTGTTTGCATCCATTACAGCTAAAAATTTATTTGGTAAGAAGATAAATTTGTTAATGCAAAACTAAACTAACTCTGCAATTTATATGAACCATTTTACACTACATAATTGCATTTACACTTATTTGCATCGTTTCAAAATGCAGCCTAGGTGCATACATGCTTGTAAAAACATTACATTTCTTTAATTCAAATGAGTAATATCATGCCTTACACATTTCATAGATATACATAGTGTTGAGTTCTTTACTCGATGCTATACCTAAGTTTCCCTAGTATTGACGTGGCCTATTTTGGCTCACAAACCTAGGGTATGTATGCTAGGGATTGAAACTTAACTAAGTTAAGTAGGAGTATAATACTAATTCTGCTTAGTTTTCCCTACTTGTAAGGTATCCTATTTTATTCACAGTTCTAAGATTGTGAATTCATCAATGAAACATGACTATATATTAATGGAGGCAAGAATTTTCCTATACCAAGATTATTATCACTAGCTAGGTTTTTATTTAAGGCACAAATACCTCCTATGGGGTTAGAAAAGGCTACCTAGCTTCCGAGCCTCCTAGATGAACATTTTGGAATCAATAACCATTATGTTTTAGAGACTAAGGCTGAGGTTTAACCTTTTGTCAAATGGGACTAGATTTGGGTGCTTAAAGTTTGAGCTCAACAATTTTCATTTCAGTCCAAATGTCCCAAAAGGTGGTTAGATTTGCATGAAGACATATTGATAACTCATTCATGCGTTTTTTCATGATAGCTCCTTTGTAGGTTTTAACAATACAAGTCAGTCATTGCTTTATCATGGATAGCTTAGGAAGGATAGAACTTCTCATGCAACCATTTCAAGTAGGAATAGTAACTCTTGTATGGTTTTTGAAGTTTCAAACTTCTTTGTGATACACACCAACCTTTTGATCCAAGTTGAACTCTCTATTTCAAGTGGGAACAACTCCTATAAGGTATTGTCCTACTAGAGTCTACCCTAGTTTTATAACTTCTAGTATTTTCACATATCAATGAGCCATATATGGTTGAAGTTTTCATTACAAGGGACTAACTTTGTTGTTCATAGCCACAGTTGTCAAGGCGACAAGGCACCTTTGGAGTCTCGCCTCGTTAATTGTCAATCAATTTTCTATAGCATTTTATAACAAACTTTTACATTCTTAATTTTTTGAAATTATAATTATAAAATAGACATTTTTAAATTAAAATATTCATTTTGTGTGTTTATATACTAATTTCTTTTTGTTATTTTCTTATTTGTTAGGGTTTAATCAACACAAATATTGTTAAATATTGTTAAATATTGTATTGAACCCTCAAAGACTTCAAAACCTAAACCAATAAGTAAGAAATAACATAAAATGTTGTCCAATCAACACGTTTTCTTCTTTTTATTTACTAATTTTGTGTTTTTATATACTATTTTTTTCTTCTTCTTCCACCTTTTTCTTTTATTCTTTTCCTATAACAGAAATAAGGGTTCAACCCCTATATTTTTCAGATTTTCTTTCCTGTCTTCTTTTTCTTCTCATGAATATGTTGGAACATGTTGATTTTCTATATTTTAGCATAAAGTTTATACTCTTCTTATGAAAATTATAGATATTTATCAAGGAAATATGATTATGGAACCTAGGGAACTACCCTAGGATACATGTTTTTACTTAAAAAAAATCTATCACCTAGGCGACTAGGAGCCCCTCCTATCACCTAGTCTCGCCTTGACACCTTGAAAACTATGCTCATAGCATGAGCTTAACAATTTCATTTTTTTTGGTTTATGCATTTGTCACGAGTATAAAGCAAATGATCAATTTGCAAGAACATTCTTAGCCATAAGTTTATAATGATTTAGTTGAATGTTTATTCAAATATCAATATTAATAGAGTTCATGTGAAACAAACATTTATAAATTCGTGTGATCCTAGACATTGATGGGGATATGTTCTCATTCTTACAAGGGAAGCTCTAAGATTTTTGGGAACTTTCCTACTTTGACATTTCAAAGACCAAGAAGCAAGTGGATCTTTAGATCTTGGCTCTTGCTTCACTCAATGACTTTAAACAATACAAGCATTTCCAATGTTTGAAATCAATACACTATCTAGATTTTATACAAAAGAGATCAAATATAGCAATAACAATGTAATCTAATTACCAAAGCATAAACTTTAGGGTAAATTGTTGAAACCTCCTCCGAAGTTTCTAACTGTTGCTAAAACTTCTCTTGGAGTTTGGTAATTGCAATCACCTCTCTTGATCTTTTTGACATAGTTGCAAGTAGACCCCTTTTGTTAGAATCCTCTAATAAGAGGCACAAAAATATCCAAAATACACCAACTTGGGCCCATGTAGGGCCAGGTTTGGGCTTGCAATCTAGGGCCGGTGTATGGGCTGGGCCCGGGCCTAACTTAAAGCCCTTTTCATTGCCACTATGCCCGACTAGGGCCCTGCTTGGCCCAACCCATGACCACCCCTACTCTAGAGGGTTCAACCTTTGTTTGAGTTTCTCACGAACTATTTTGAGATGTAATTAGGCCTCTTAGGATTTTCACTAACCATTATTGACAAGAGCCCTGGATGTCCTCACAAGACCTGCTGGCATGGTGCTCACAACCAATTGTAGCTATGCATTGAAAATATCTCAACGTGAATAAAAACATATAATTAAGGAGACATTCTTAATACACATTGAAGTGGTTGTGAGTAGACCAGCTCATGGGCTGGGTTGGGCCGGGCTTTGGCTCTTTATCAATAAATGTCTTATTTCAATGTACTTTTATAAACTAATATTATATTAATTTAGTAATAATTGAATAAACTAATAAACTAATTTATTTTTCATAATAATAAATTAATATTTATTAATAATTTAAGAAATAAATATATATTATATATAATATAAATGCTTTTTTATTATATGTAATAGTATTGGATCAGGCTCGGAATTGGGCCGAACTTATTTGATAAGGCTCGAATCGGCCCAAAAAATGATCAGACTTGGTATTTAAAGCCCGAACCCAAACCCACAAGCATGAAATTTTGTCCAAATCCAAAAAATAACGGGCCAAGCCAGGTCTACTTAGAAGCCGCTCTATACCAATCGTTTTCTTTTTTTATCAAAGAAAAATAGGGCATATCATTATATCATATTGAAAAACTTACATGGTTCGGGGCCGAGTTGCTATAAGATACTTTTAATTGGCCCTTACAAGATATATAAGCAAATAAGCAAAAATATGAGTTGCTTGATTGTAACATCTAGGTATATGGTTTGTGTTGGCAAATTCAACTAACTCTGTACTGTCTGTATAGACCAAAAGATGCAATTGTAGCAAAGTCAGAAGGCCTCCTATTTCAGCATCGTAGCTACTGATGGCCCAACAGGGTCTGCCTTCTGCATAAATGAATTGTTCATTGGCAATGTTAGAAGATGCACCCGCGTCCTGCGTGACCTGTAACTGGGTCAAAAGAACTTAGAAGCCGCTCTACTAATGGAATAAATTTTATGGAGAAGATGCAGAATTCTGAATTCCAGCCCCCCCTACTATTAGCCCTCTCTCCCCTATAAACCATATCTTGTCTGTGAATTTCGAATCACGATCAGGATACATTCTCTAGAGGCTATAAAATTTGGTCATTCTCCCTAAATTTTATGATTTTTACTTTCCAGGAATTCGGATATAACGATAACAATACATCGGTGGTCACTTTCATCCAGCTGCTCCTCATTGAGAACATCTTTTATACTATATTTCGTAAATATTCCTTATTTGCGGCTAAGATAAATGTAGCCAGCATGTATTGTACTCAGCTTTTAGGTTATAAGCCTTTCAAAGCGCATACACACAAAAAAAACAGAAAAAAGGAAAAAAAAGAAAATTATTTATTTTTTGGTCTCTTCAGCAGTTATCAAACTGTCCATAAAGCATAGGTGGGTCCTACCCGCTCTTAATTTGGTGGGGCACGATCCAGTTCCACTGCCCCTGGCAGGGTGATAGATAGAACATACAAATTACAAACCATAAACAAATGAAACGTGCAATCAAAATCCATCTTAAATATCTAAAAACTAGAGATTCCAATCTAACATCAGAGTCAAAGATCTACGGAATAATGTTGTACATGATTGAAGCAGTACATCATAGCTCAACCCTAGTTCCCTCTGATGAGCAACGCTTGGAATCTATAAAGCAAAATGCTTTTTAGTGCAGAGAACTGGTGGAAAAACTCTCTCACTGTAGTCTGAACTCAAAACATGGCGACGGTGGCTCAACTTCGATACTCTCCTCTCTCTAACCATTACAATTTCCCCGGAAACCGTCATGTTGTATCTCCAAATCCCCGTTTTCCGGCGGCGTCTTTTCCTGTTCATTTCTCTTCCCCCTCTACCTCCTCTTCAAATCTATCTTCCTCGTTTCCGAAAACCAGAGCTTCTGACACGAGCTCCCTCGGAAAGTTCGACCTTTCCGATGCCGGAGGCAATGGAGGCAGTGGATCCGGCCGCGGAACAGGTGGCGGTGGCAATGACGGGTGGAATTCTGGTCATAGTGGTAGCGGGGATTCTGAGGATCGATCGTCATCGTCATCTTCAGGTTTAGGAATTCTAGGGCTTTTCTTGAACGGATGGAGGTCAAGGGTAGGCGCAGACCCTCAGTTCCCCTTCAAGGTTTTGATGGAGGAAATAGTCGGGGTTAGCGCGTGCGTTCTCGGGGACATGGCGTCTCGCCCTAATTTCGGACTTAACGAGCTCGATTTTGTGTTCTCGACTCTCGTCGTCGGATCGATTCTGAACTTCGTCCTTATGTATCTTTTAGCTCCAACGGTGGCTTCGTCTTCGCCCAGCCTCCCTGCGATTTTCGCAAGCTGCCCGACAAGCCACATGTTTGAATCAGGAGCGTACAGCGTGCTCGATCGGTTTGGGACGTTTGTGTACAAAGGGGTTCTGTTTGCTGCAGTTGGGTTCGCGGCGGGGCTCGTGGGGACTGCGATTTCGAATGGGTTGATTAAGATGAGGAAGAAGATGGATCCCAACTTTGAGACGCCGAATAAGCCCCCTCCGACCGTGCTGAATGCTATTACTTGGGCGATTCATATGGGTGTTAGCAGTAATTTCAGGTATCAGACCTTGAACGGGATTGAGTTCCTGCTGGCGAAGGGTCTGCCGCCGTCGGGATTTAAGGCGTCGGTGCTGGTTTTGAGGTGTTTGAACAATGTCCTTGGAGGGTTTTCGTTTGTGTTGTTGGCGAGGCTGACGGGGTCACAGAAGGTCGAAGAAGGGAAGAGTGTGGAGACAACCAAGGAAGCTGGTTTGGCTGAGGAGAAAGTAAGGTTAATCGAGAAGAGTGAGGATTTGCAGAGCAGCAGTCAGTCTGGTTGTAAGTGATCTGGTTAGTCTTCTTTGCTACCCAGCTCTAGAGTAGAAAAGTAAAATGTGTGTGCTTTTTATTTTTTATTTTTTCCTTCTTTTGAAAACTAAATTGGGAATGAGACACTGGGTTTGAGTGGGTTTTCACTGAAGGATGGATTTTGGGTGTCTCTGAGTTTATGTAATTTACAGGTGAATATATGAAAAGGGAAATAATCTTTTTATGTTGGATCAATGCTGAGTTGCAGAGTAATGATTTAAGAGATCAATTAAATATCTGTTGATTTTGAAGAAAATTTTTAGGATTAAGATATTGCTGAGGAACTGAAGATGATCAAAATTTAGCAATTTCGGTTCGGTACAAATGTACAATGATAAGTGTGAGGGAGGATTCAGGCAGCTTTTCCAGTAATTTAGAATGAAAATTTTCTGGATGAGTGACAACATTCTTTTTATAACTTTAATGTTTGTAGCAAGTGGGTGGCTTGGGCAGTGCACATGGAGAATTCGATTATTTTGGGTAAATTTTTTATTAAGAACAATTCTAGTGTGCTGAAGCATGTTTTCTATTAATTTAGCAATATGCCTATAATTATAAATTTGAAATGTCTCAATCTAATTTAGCAATATGAATATCCTAGCCTAAGTTGGAACATTCTTATGATTGAGCTTGTTTAAGGACGAGTCTTTAATGGAGATGGATGATTGCTAATTATCAAAAAAATAAAAAAAGGAGATGGATTGATGACTGTGAGGAAAGGGGAAAAATATATAAAAAGGGCATATTTTAATAAATTAATAATGATATTAGAAATTTTATAATAGAAGAAAGGGAAAAGTACTTTTTAGGTCAAGTTTTTTTAGCTATGATCCCACTTTAGCACACTCTTTTAACTTTGCAAGAGAACGTGTCTTTTAAAATCTAACTCCACTTTGGGACAGAATAATATGAGTATTTAGTAAAATAATTTAAAAATCATGTTAAAGTATAAAGTTGCTTTATTTTCAAACTAGTGGGCCCCCCTGGAATCCAATATGATGACAGAAGAGATTAAATGGAAATAAAAAGCGAAAAAGAAAGATTAAATGGAAATGTAAATGATATGACGCACCGGAAAAATTACAAACATTACTAATGTAACAATAATTAATATGCAAACTTACCAAAATGTCCAAAATTAATTTATCAAAGTTCTGTTACTTTAATTTTTGCTAAATTAATAATTTCTGTTAAATTAAATTACCAAAAAAATCAGTAAATTAATTACAAAATTACCACACAAATTAATTTCCCAAAATTATCTAAATTATTTTTGATATGTCATGCAAATTATTAATTTATATCAAATTAATATTTTTCCAAAATACTAAAGTTATTGTTTCATAAATTACAAAAATTAATAATTTATTGATAAATTACTGGTTTGTGATAATCTAATTATTGTTAATTCTTAATTCTATAGTTAATAATTTTCAACAAAATTACCACTACATTATTGTTAATTAATTTCTATGAAATTACCAAAGTTACCAAAATTATAAATTTATTAGTTCAATTTTTGGTAAATAAATAAATTAATTAATTTTTGGTAAATTAATTACAAAAATTACTTTACAAGAATAACAAAAATAAATAATTTACCTAAATTACAAAAAACTATTGTTTGATAAATTACGAAAATTAATAATTTACTGATTTACTAATAATTAAATTGTTGTTTGATATATTGTTAGTTTCTATTAATTTATTGTTTGACGAATTGTTGTTAATTAAATTATTGATTTACTGTTAATTATAATTTATAATAGCCTAACATTAAATCAATAGTAATTTGATTTAAGTACCTTAATTAACAATAAAAAGAGACTAGGCGAAGTATATACCCAATCTATTGACTCGGATAAAGACCATTTTGCTATAGTGATGGTTCGACAACAATGCACCAGGGTCATCCTAGCATTTCAATCTTGTTTCAATCTACCTTTTCCAACTGATGATCAACCTTAGCGTCTCAATTTCACTATTAATCTATATTTTTCAAGTGATGATCGTTGGCTACCTTTTTCAACTGATGACCAACCTTAGCATCTCAATCTTAATGTTAATCTACATTTTACAAGTGATGATCAATGGCTACCGTCATGGCTCCTCTCGATGGTTGAAATGTTGCATGTGGGTGGCCATGAATTGGTCTCCAACTTGTTTCATCTAAGAACACAACAATGCAATTCCTTTTCACGTAAAAAAGCTCCTCTCTAAAATGCTTAGAATTCCTTTGGAGGCTAACCCAAAAAGCTATTTGGGTGCACCCATAATTGCAAGTTTGCAACAAGAGTCGCTAAGGTTACATTTGTCAATATAATTGAACCGTGGGGCATTTTCTTGAACCAAATTGATAGTACCGGTTTTTAGAAAACCGGTAATAGGAACCGAACCGAAACCAGTCGGTTAACCAGTTGACCGATTCGGTTTGTCGGTTTTTGGTTTTTTAGTTTTTACAATATATATTATAAAAATAATTAATATATATAAAATATTATATTTTAAATAATATATAATATACTATAAATATATATATATATATATATTTATATATAATGCATATTTATTAATTTACAATATATAAAATATACATAAATATACATAAATATTTATTAAACATATATAAATATATGTATATTTGTCGGTTTGGTTAACCGTCATTTTTTATATTGGTTAAACGAAACCAAACTAGTACCTTCGGTTTTTTAAAAACACCAAACTGAAATCGAACTGACTGGTTCGGTTAACCAATTTTTCGGTTTGGTTTCGGTCGGTTAGGTTTTTCAGTTTTTTTTCTCACCCTTAGCTCCCAAGATGTGCAAATCGGAAAAAGAATACTTTATCCTTAGTGGAAAGGCTAACTTTGACTGATTCTACTTCAAATATGGTGCCTAATTATACCATGAGATTATTTAGAATTCCAAAAAATGCCATAGAAGATCTTAACGAACTTCAAAGGGAACTTTTATGGCCAAACTTAAGTGAGAAAAAGCCTATCCATCTCCTGAAATTGGATAAGGCTTGTAGCCCAAAAGATAGAGAGGTTCTGTGGGTAAATGAGGCAAATCTAACAAAACTTGGATGGAAAATCTTAAGTGAGGAAGAAAACCTATGGTTAAGGTTATGAAGGATAAATACTTGAAGAGATAGTTTTTGGGATGTCAAGATTAGAGTATCTCGTGGGCATAGAGAGGCATTCTCTTTGCCCAATATCTTACTAAAAAAGGAACTCGTTGGTTAGTAGGGAATGGAAGAATAATCAAATTTTGGCAAGATAATTGAATGTTTGGGAAACCTCTTATTGAAGAAATAAGCAATGACAATAATCTATACTATATAGAAAAGTGTGAACGTAATGCGAAAGTTTTTTTTCTGGACTAAAATTACCCTTTATTTCTTTGTTTGAGAAAGGGTATAAAATTCATTTTATTATATCTTTAATGTCAGCTTTAATGACTACTAAAATGTCCATATTTGTGAATTTAATCCATCTTTAATTGTAAGAATTCAAAATGTAATTTCAATTATTACTTCCCACCTCATTTCATAGTTGTCAAGGCGACGCCTAGGTGACAAGATGCCCTTGGAGGTTTGCGTCACCTAATTGCCAAGTAGTTTTCTATAGCGTGTTATAAAAACTTTTATATTCTTATTTTTTTTAGGTTATAATTATAAAATAGACATTTTTAAATTAAAATATTCATTGTTTGTTTATATACTAATTTCTTTTTATTATTTTCTTATTTGTTAGGGTTTAATCAACCCAAACATTGCTAAAAGTTGTATTGAACCTTCAAAGACTTCAAAACCTAAACCAATAAGTAAGGAAGAACATAAAATGTTGTCCAATCAACACATTTTCTTCTTTTTCATTACTAAGTTTGTGTTCTTATACACTAATTTATTCTTTTTCTTCTTCCACCTTTTCTTTTCTTTTTTTCCTACAACAGAAATAGGGGTTCAACCCCTATATTTTTTGAATTTTATTTTCTTTCTTCTGTTTCTTCTCATGAATATGTTGGAATATATTGATTTCTATACTTTAATATTAAATTTATACTTTTTTTTATGAAGATCATGGATATTTATGAAGGAAATATGATTATGGAACCTAAGGAACTACCCTAGGATACATGTTTTTACTCAAAAGAAATCCATTGCCTAGGCGCCCACCTAAGTGACTAGGTGACGAGGTGCCCCTGTGTTGCCTAGCCTTTCCTTGGCGCCTTGAAAACTATGCCTCATTTAATCTAGTTATTTGATCGATTGCTTGTTAAAGATTTATGCCATTAGAACCCTAATTTATGATGTCCATAATGAATTTCGAGGTATCAAATTTTCTAGGGGAACTGGGTTTGGGCTACAATTTGCGAAGCTGAATAGTGATAAAGTAGGATTTAAGCGTCCAAGAAGGCGTAAGATTACAACATTGTATTTATATCCTTGAAGAGCTTGATGTCCTCACTCTCAAACTTACTTGTGTTCTCGTTAAGTTTGATAGTTGGTTCTCACATAAAACCTGATGAGGATGAATGAATAAACCAGAATTTAGATTTAAAACGATTTGCTGCCTAATACACGATTTTTTTTTTTTTTTTTCTGGAGAGTCCTAAAAAAAAATATAACAACAAAGTATAAGGCTTGGATTTCGATGTCATATTTTTTGTTGAAAAAGAAGCATCTTAACTATTCAAGACAACTTGATGGGCAAAATAGGCATAGATCAATAGTAAATAATAGGAAAATAACTAACCACGTCTCTCTCTCTTGGCTGTCCTGTCCCCCTTCTCTCGCTTTTGCTCCATCGACATTCTCTTCCTCTCTCCTCTTACCTCCAATCTCCTCTACTTAGACAAAACCATCGCCATTTCCTTGGACTTTCGGAGATTGACCAACTTCACCATGTTTCCATGGATCTTACAACCATGGTTTTCAAAATCGGACAGTTGGACCGGAAAAAATAGACACCGATTAGGTGATCGGTTCCATTTCTCCCCAAAAACCGGATTTTCTCAAAAAACATTGATTTTGGTCAATAAACTATTGAATCGGGCGATTAACCATTTGAACCATTTTAACCGTTTTTTTATTTTTTAATTTTTTGTCAGAATGGGCTGACTGTTCGACCCGATAACCGGATCCTTGACTGGTTCGGTCTCCAAGTCGGTTTTAAAGAAAAGAATTATCTTATT